TATTATTCGATTTCAGAGGATATTATTATAATATCAAAATTATGTAAATCTGTATATTATTATTATCATTTCCATATAGTATATTATAGGTACCTTTATATTATATCTACTCAAGAATATCATATAGGTAATGTTATAACGATCTCATATATAGCAGTTCACCGTACGTAATAAAAAGTTGACTTATTAAAATAAAAATAAAAAACCAGTCGACATATAGGAATCAAAACAAATCGTACCACATTTTTTAAATTCTGAGCGGAGAGAGGAATGCGTATATTATTGGTTTTACGATGTGTTTTTTCTTCGGTTTTGTCTGTTATCATTTTTCTATAGTAGGTAATAGGTATTACCACCTACATAGGTCGAAGGCGGTGTGCTCGACCGCATATCTTGATAAGGAAATCTTACTGACAAATCGTGAAAACATTGTAAAATTACAACACTTTGGGCCACTTTTGATTGTTTGTTATGTTGTGAAATATTACAATGTGAGACATATTGACATATTGAAAAATTGTGTATTTAAGTAGAAATTGTCATGACCTTCTTGCCTCCCCCCCCCCAATTTAAACCAGACTATAGGTTCACTACCGGTTAATTTTTTTTTAAGTCAACCGTGAGTGTCATTAATGGATGACTCTTCAAATCAAATCTAACCACGCAAATGTTAAGTATTCCTTATTATTTTAGTTCATTAACGAGATTAATTAATATTTATAGTATGTATCCTAACCTTAACACATATATTATACTAATTATTGTGCCCTTTAGGTATAGACCATTATACCTACTGCAAATAAAAAAAATATATTATAGATTTACAGATATAACAAAATTATGAGCATTTAGTGTATTTAGTATGTAACTATGTATGTATAACTTGAAAATTCAGTTCAATATAATATATTGCATATATAACATATTATGTTACACTGTAAATATAACTGTGTAATTGTGATAATAATAAAAAGAAATGTTTGATATAGGGATTCTAACTTTTAAGTCTGAATGACATTATGACGGTAAATCATTTCAATTATTTGATGACGTTATTTTTCGAAATTTATTTTAATGAAATTTGTAACATTAGATATAGTAGTAATAGGCTTGATATTTAAATAAAATGTCAGTTACTGGCATATTTATTAAAAGTTCAAAATCTTTATAATCGTGAATTTCTTAATATAACTATTTAATATATTTTATGAAAATAATATGTAATTTTGTTATATTTATATATGTAAATGGTGTTAATGTAATGTAACCATTGGGCTACCAGCCTGTACTATTAATAGAACCAAATAAATAAAAATAATGTTCCTATAAAAATTGTTATTTACAAAATTACATTATCAATAATAACCCACACAACAACTTTTTCAAAGGTAAATAAAATTAAATGTTTTAATATTTTAAACTCTAAAGGAAAACGGTGTCAATTGTTTGGAGGCAAATTGACTCGACCATAGTATAATGTCTATAAGTATGCACATCGTATCGCGTGATCCAAACTCTCATTCCTGTAATCGAATTTTTGATTGACTCATACACGCGAACATACAATATTTACACCTACTTGTGTGTTTTGCATGTTATAATTACATATTATACATTGTTATATACACAAAACTGTTTAATTAAATAATAACATATTAGGACGTCATACCTAACGTTATTTTAGTTACATTATTAAAATAAGTATAAGTGTTGGGCGATCATTTTTGACATTGACACGATATATTCACTTTTGAATGTCACTTTATGGAAATTTGTCGACTAGACAAGCGTACCTATATTATAATACGCCGACGCATTATACATTATATTTTTACTGGCTATATTTAAATCACGAAATTTTATTATAAATCACGATTTAATAATTAAATGCATGATAAATAGTGTTAATTGTATTCTTTAATTGTGAGAAGTTCCGGCACGCAGCTTTGATAATATTAAAATTAGAATTGTCTAATAATAGCATCTGATAGCTATATGACCTGTAGATATGAGTATAGTATAAAAAATATATCTATGAAGACTATTGCAATCGAGGAAGTACTAAGTATTACTTATTTTGGTAATCGAAGTAGGTAGGTAGTACATTTTATGAGTATACTTATCATTATAATCAGTTTTCAGAGATATTTGTTAGATTATTACTCAGTACCTATATAAACGTTATTTCAAAAGTGTTTTATTGATTTATTATTCTTATTATTATACCAACAAAAATAATATACATAATATATATTCGTTGGGAATATGTTCTATCTACCTACTTCAAAGCTATACGCATTTATTAGATTATTTTCCTTAAAAAACAGACCCTTTTTTTGAATTTGAATGGTTAAAAGTTTTGGTCAAACACGGGTACCATGCCGAGCATCGATCCACCCAGTAAGTAATGACGTCATGGTTCACCTAGGCAACCCCCGTTTGCTTGAATCGGCCGTATACACGTGCATGCTGACGTACTTTTTGAAACGTATTTTCGGGATAAAATATGTTTCCAAATTTTTCGTAATTCATGTCAAGTCATTGGACGGCAGTCAGAGATAGTTTACTGGTAAAAGTGCAACAGTTGATTCAATTTAATTACAACAATAATACCTGTTAACTGACAGTAGTAAATAATATTTTGGTTTTGATTCAAGATATAATATATATATTAAATTTAGAAAGCGAATCATGAGCTGAAAATAAAATGATAATTTAATCATTACTACCTACGTTTAAATCAAAATCAGCTGAGAGAACTTCCTGACCATTATAATATATATTAAATTTATTTTGTATTTTTGAATTGTATTTAAACCATAAGCAGATCATCGAGAACTGAATAATAACAAATTCGCTGAGGTAAGAGAAATCGTCCATCAGTGGCTAGAAATCTATCCGGAATATAACATGAATAAAATTTCTCCACAGCATGCGAATTAGACATTAATATTATATATTATATTATAGTATATAATTGAAATGCATTTATCGAGCAGCAGCTAAACATAAATTACATAATATTTCAGTTCTTCGAAGCCGATGTTTAGTATTTTCCACATTGGCGCTGTACCTAAGTATCTACCTACGTCCTACATACGTAGTGCAGGAACTAACTTTTTCCTATACAAACTTTGAATCGAACGAGTGATTAATGATATTATACGATGCGATGCTTTGATTTATAATTGGATATAACTAGGTATAGTAAAACCGATGCATGCAACGTAAGGAAAACATTTAAGTGGAGATTGAAATCAAATGTCCCTAGTTAGGTTAGGTACCTACCTACAACAATAATATTATGATCTCACATTAAAAACTACCTGTTAGGTTCCTACGTAGGTACGTACGTATTACATTGTAACAGCTATATCGATAAAGCTTATATGCTGCAGGTTTTGTTCGTATGGTCGTGTTTGCATATCGAAAAAAAATTAAGTTTTCAAGGTGAATGGAATACTGTAGCCAAAATGTCAATCACGGTGACATTTATAATGTAATGAAAAACATTGAATAAATGAACATTAGAGAGGTAGACCTCTAGAAAACAAAATATCGTGATCATTCATAAATAATATAGAATCAGATCAGAATTCATTTCCGAAATTACATTTCCAAGGCCTAAGCGGCCTGACATTGATTAGAAAATAAGGTTTGTTGTCTCCTGACCAGGGCCATAATATTGTATTAATATGTCGATGGTTAAAAGAAAAGCCTTTTTTAGTCGAATAAAACAATCAAATGTTTTCTAGTATACATTTTTATCATTAAGCAATTTATTTAAATGTTTGTGAAACGCATTTATTAAACAATAATTATAAAGAATTGATTAATTTTAATTCTGGGACAATCGTATGCAATAAAGTTTACGTTTGCATCATCTGCAAGAAATTAAATTATATAAGAACGCAGACAACATTATAATATATTTTTTGAAATTACCTATTTATAAAATATATTTAACTATAGATAACTATTGACTACTTTACCTGTATAAATATATTATAATTGTACTATAAATCGTCAAATAAGTACTGAAATAAATATGAATACTTTCTTAATTTCTAATGCACATAGGTAATATATTGTATAATTACGTGTCGGAAATGAAATCTATTTAATTTCTACAAGCCACCACAAACTACTGTAAATGAATAGAAAAAAAGTTTTCCTTAGAAAATTCCGAGGAAAATTTGATTTGATGATAATAATATAAATGTTAATTTTTACTACGGTAAATTATAAGAATTCTGTGTAATGTGACTGGTCTGCCACGTGATACACGACTGACGCTCATCCATATCCGACAACGTGTACCTATATACATATTACATATATTTATTTTATAAGCGTTTGCGAATCGACTGATTTAAATTATTTATTTTGCCCGTTATAGGTGTTATTTATATATATATATTATATATTACATATATAAATTGGATGAGTTTTTTACGATTATGATGCACCATCCGCGGATAACCCGGTCCGACCCTGGCATTGATGGTGTGCGCGGAAAATTATTGGTCTGACCCGATTTCTCCCGGACCTCGAGATTTGAAATATTAACGTTAATTTTGCATTCAAATCGAATATACATTTATTTATATATATATTATATTGTAGGCTATACCTAACCATACATATATATAGTATATTATATAGTAAACGGATTCGTATATGCACTCATTGAGGTGCGCATTGGGTTAAACGCACTCAATATATATATATTATTATCATCTATTGAACAAAGAACAAAGTTTGTGTGTGTGAGTGTGTGTTTATGTCTGTAAATGTGTGCGTGCGTGTACGCAGTGATTTCTTAAGGTTCAAGGATCTCCAGTACGGGTCTCGTCCGGCGCCGCAGCCTGAATGTTTCCTCTAAGTACCTACTATAATAAACCCTTGTTCTCTGTAAATATTCGCTATACATCGTCAGACCAAAGCACTTTTCGAAGAGACAAATAACACAATATATTGTAAACACATTTTTAACCCACCTTATAGTAACTGCTAGGATTACTATTATCACAGCGACGAGCACCATGGCGATGAGGACACCGCACACCATGTATACTCCTTCGTTCGGAACATCTAAACAAGAAAAATATAACACAACAATTAGGTAAGTATTACACTTATTAACACTATAAGATTAAAGAGTTTTATAGAGAAAAAAAAACACGTGAGCTTAAATCGGATAAAATCTGATTTTGTATTGATGAAAGAGCTACAAGAGTATAGGTTACGGTTAGATACATTGTATTTTATCTATATATAGGACCGCTCGTATTATATTAAAATACTTTTAAACGATGTGTATACATAATATTTTTTAGTGTGAATTACATATTATATTTTATATTTGAAACCAATCTATTAAATGCTAATTTTATTATTTTAAAATAATTCCAACTTGCGATATTATAATAATTGCGATTCATTGAAAATCTTATAATATTTTAATTTTATAAAAACATTGTTAACTGCTTCGGTAGATGTTTAGTCAACAGTTGTATTATTTGACAACGTGTATACTTGTGGATATAGTGGTTAGCCTCGGGAAAAAAGTATTTACGTTTGTGAAATATTTATATTATATACGTTTCTTGGGGCTAAAATAAGTTCTTTATGCATTTTTTCCTTCGTTAGTATATAATGGCGCAGACGGGATCATCGACTCTTCTCCGCAGGTCACTAACTTCCTCTCTTCTGTCTCCCTCCTCTCACGCGCTTTGTCCGCATGCACGGCCAGACGCACATAATTCAGGGCTTCTCATCCCTACGTTTTCATTCGGAATCACATTTTTACATCTAAGTTACATAATCGGTTTTTTAAGGTTATAATACTCATGTATTATGCCCCTGGAATTATTATTCAAATAATCAAATTAAATAAACACAAAAAGTGTTTCAAATTATATATTTATAAATATAGTTGGTTCACTACTAAATGTATCAATTGTTAGGAACCTTGATTTGTGTTTTTTCATTGCTTGCCTCATCGGTGGTTTTGTGTCTTGTATAAGAAAAAAAATAAAAATAATACCATGTTCAGCATTTTATTAAACCCACGTGACGCTCTATACGTGCCTGTTATACGCCTTCTGTGTTTCTTTCACATACAACTAGGTATAATGCATTTTACTAAACAAAATATTATATTATACTATTAGCTAACAATCTTATCGATGGTATTGGGCCGGAGGGTTCGAAATTTAAAACATTTAAATATCGTTTTTACTGCAGTGTCTGTGCTGCAGTTGTGGGTATATACTGAATGCAAGTTCTCATATTATCATTTGTATTTTATGATTAGATATTATATTTTTTTATATCTATTATTATTCAACGATATTTCAGTGACATTAATTATTTTGAGGTTACGAGTTCGAGGATCACCACCTACTGATCGTGATTAGGTAGAGTAGTCCGTAACTGGTATAAATGTATAATAATATAACAGTTATATCTATCTATTGGTAGGTCGTATAATATAATATGTATATGCTATATAGGTACTTTTCATTTTAAACAATCTATAGTAATGATACACATAATATGCGTTATTAAAACTGATTATTTCATGTTAATGTATATAATGGTATTTAATGGTATATTTTAATTTTACTAATACACAATATTATAATTTATACCAGACGGCTCACACAGGAAGTATAAATGTATACTAGGTACCTACACTAATCTATACTATATAGTGACTGTGATGTAATAACAAACGTTTGTGGAATGGAAAAGAAAAGTTTCTCACTATTTTGAATGTTCTATTATTCAGAGGTGCAGTCCAAAAGTCATAATAAGATATTTTATTGTATTTTTAAGAGCAATATTATACTTATCTGTATTTTCTGCATGGGCGTGATGCAATTCCCTATATGGGGTAGAGTTTATGAGAGGATCTTTTTTCTCTTACCTACTCAAAATATTTTGAGATTTACATATTTTGAATTGTATTTTACATTTATATAAGAATAACGATTATATTATATTATGATTTTACAAGTGCTAATCAATTTAAGTGAGAAAACTAATTAGGTACATATAATAACTCTAATTATAATAATTTGAATGCTATTTTTTTTTCAGATATTCATTGAAATCCATTTTTTCGTCCACATCAAAGAAATTATTTTAATTCTGAATATCAAATATACTGGATCGATTAGCAACCTGTTAATATCTTATATTATCGATGTTTTATCTCACGTGTTGATTATTGAAATTAATATCGAAGTATAAAGTAATGATTAGTAATGTGGTCATTGCATTAGGTAGGTACATATTTTGTGCAACTATGCAATAATTTGTAACATGCTTTTGCTTTATGCATATGTATCATTGCAAATAGTAGGTAGGTTGGCCAGTTTAACTATTAATTATCAATGAGTTTAAATAAATTCATCCTAAAACTGCAATAAATAACAACATATACGCAGTAAAATTATTTTTCAATAATAAGCAATTAAATATCTTAACAATAATGGACAAACAATAAATTGTAGTTAGGTAATAAAAAATAATCATTACATTTAATTTCTGCAAAATATTGAAATTGAAAATATAAATATACGAGTAGGTAGGTACCTACAATATGTATAGAAAATTACGAACAGTAAGCATAGGTATGTTTAAAACAAAATTCTTTTTATATATTTACTGCGAATGTAAATGGTATCGTCCATTGACGGAATTTCAGTGACTATTTTAACTCCTGCTGAAAGTCCTTATGGATAAGCTCCTCATGAGATATCTTCACCATTTCCTCTTTAGGTGCAGACAAGGTAATTTTTCAGGGAGATTATTGTAAGTTAGGTTCGCAATCAGAGGATTAGAATATCCGGATCCAGATGGTTTATTAATCTTTTATAATTCCGTTAGTATAGACGAAGATTTCATACAATTTTTGGCAGACTAGTAGTATTTTATTGCAGAAGTACCCGCGTTGGTTATCCTATTATGATTACCGTCCATGAATAAGACGGGTTAACTTTTGCCATAATGTCATTATATCTATCATTGTTCGCCATAATAATAATATCTATCGTAAATTTAATGAAAATCACATTATTATTGTGTATATTGTACAATACTATAGTGTTTGTGTAATATATCTTATTAAAAACTTGAAACAAATTATTAAAATAATTATTTACTAATAAAACTATAGAAAAAAATGTGTTTTTATACGTTTTGAGATCAAATAACAGTTTGTATAAAATAATCATTTTTTTCAGAGGGAGTGGTGTGAAGCCAATTATAATTTACAATTACATAATGTAAAGTTTCCAAAAAAAAAAAATAAAAACTAACTTTTATCAACACATAAAACATAATATCGTTATAAATAATAATATAATGACTTAATAGATTATTGTATGCAGTTTACAATAAATGATTACGTTTTGTATGGCCAAAGGGCAAAGAAAAAATAATGGTTCACAAAAATGTTAACGGTTATCGATGAACGTGAGAGTATCTAGGAAGAAAAATAAATAAAATACATGTTTAATTGATAATCCCTATACATTTAGGTGTTTTACACATAAATATAAATTAATTAGAAATTACTAATTAGAACTTTATACATTTTGACTAAAACCAACAAGTATATGAGGATAATTGAATTCATTATTACACTACAAGCTATAATAAAACAAAACTAGCTCAGTTAGTCACTTCTAAAATACAATTTTATAATAATACAATACTTTCAATAATTAGTTACTTATTTGTATACATACCTAGGTATCATAATATTATATACTATATTATTATTATAATTTCAATATATAATTATCAAGATTACTTTTGGACAGTTTTGGTTGACATTTTGTCACCTAATGAAGAGTTTTACAACATATGGGGCTGAATAATGATAATCGTAATACCACGAACTACATAATTATATGTATGCAACAATTATCTTTTGTCATTGTTCAATTATAGAAAATATAGATTGTCTGGAATATTCAATTACTCATTAATTGTTTTTTATCGTTTTAAGTGATAGTAAAATTGAGTATAATGACTATAAACTTGAACAATGATTAAAAAAAAAGTTGATTATTATAATTGGATAGGCTAAAAAGCAAATATTTAAGTATTTATATATTATTATGGTTAGTTTAAAATGCTTCGAATACAATTGCAATACCTACCTAATAAGATTCCAATCAAAGGGCATTAGAAATAATTTAACTACCTACCTACTTATCTGCAATGTACTCGTATTATAGGTAATTTAAAAATGACATTTGATTTTGAAATAAAATTACCTTCAATTATAATTTTTTTTTGTAGTGTGACCTGTTCTACATATGTCATATAGTTATATTCAAATTAAATATTGAGTAATCTGATTGTAGATTCCAATAAAAGAAATATGTTGTAAATTTATATATGGATGACATTTTACTGTTACCAAATTCAAAATATATGACATTATTTTTTTTAAATACAATATTATAGTTGTACTTATTATACTTATATTATATAGATCGAACTATAATTATAGTAATTAATTATAATTTTGCCTAGTATAAATATTTTAAGCAAAAATACTAGACGATTATTTAAAATATAATATTCAGTAGGTCAATAGGTACTTAATTACCAAAGACTTTTGAGTAGAAATCAATATAAATAAATCATAATATTCTGATGCGTATAACTGTAACTATATTATATTAATTTGATGTTAATATTTATTTATACTTAATTTACATAAAACATGTATGACGTTTTAGATCATTAAGCTTAGTAGTTACTATCTATAACTACTATAACTACTTAAATCGCGGTGTTTATTCTATATAGTATTACGATTTGAAAAGTTATCCTTAGTTGTTATTTACGATTACCTACTTTTTTTTTGTAAATAGCTACTGTGTTACTCTAGTTAATGACTTAAAGAGGCCAATACTATTTCATATTATGTTAAGTTATAATTTATAAGTTATGTCATAAGCTTAAGTATTCATTTATATTATTATCTATTTGAATAAAAAATATTATTATTATATTATTCCGTGAAAAAGTGTCAATTTATATTTCAATTTTAAACGTTTGTGTAGGTATAGTCGTATACAAATCGTAATAGGTATTATGTTATAGATGCCTGATCAAAAACAAACTAAATATAATTTTATAAAATAATCATTGGCTCAAAAAAAGTAATTTTTCCGGTATAAATGATAGTATTTTTTTTTCCGTGATATAGGTACTGATTACTGATATGCATTGCACTTATTTAGTAATGAGTTATAATAAATTTATCCAAGTTTTATACATTTAAGTCTTTTTGAGTTTCAACATAAAATGTATTGATTATCAAATACAGTTTATAGTTTCCTACGTCAAACTAGTTAAAAGTAGGTATGGATATCATGTATTAACTGCAGACGTTTGTTAATTAATGCAATCTAAAAAAATCTGAACGTCATTCATGTTTTAAGTGTATATTATTATGTTAAATATTAAGTTGTATCAATTTGTGTAGTTTATAAAAGCTAAACAGTATATATAGTTAATATTATATGTAAACATTATTGACATAGGTATTGGGGATAACAACAAATTAAATCAAAGATAATTGTTTTTTATATGAGACCTGCGTCATAGAAATCCCCAATTGAAAGTTTAAGTGTTCAGATTTAACGGATTTGTATAATTCCCTACAAAGAATAACATAAATAAGTTTGCGTTATGTTTTAATGTACATAATATATACTTAATAATATACTGATTATTAAAAAATATGTTTGTAAACATGTCAGATGCAACCAAAAACATTACGAGGCATGATTTATGAATGCATTAGATTATAAGCAGTGGCGCAACTAGATAAACTGGGACTCCAATGTAATTTCAGTTAATGAAGGAGCCTTAATTTATGTTTTTATTAGCCTTCCGCGCTTATCCTATAGTAAAAAAACATTTGTGGTCGATCAATATTGTCGATTAATAAGATTCTAATATACTTCATGATATAAATCAATATACACACATTATTTTTAAAATTAAAGAAGTATAATATAGTATCTAATTGTTAAGTTTTAATTTTGTATTAATAATTCATGTACATACAAACATTGTATGTACTACAGTTAACTTTTAATCAGTATATAAATATTACCTAAACATATTTTATTTACATTTTAAAGATTATTTTGTTGAAAGAATATTGATAGTATATACGCCGGATACCCATGAATTATTTAACCAATACATCAGTGACTATTCACTATCTATAGAATAGCACACTAATTCAGATCTCAGATAGTAGATAATATACTCGTCTTTGTATATTATAAATTTTCACATTGTGCCCTTGATAATTTTAATTTTTCGTTTAATAACATTTAACGCATTGAATCGTATTTAATGACATTTTTTTTTTCATATACATATCAAAATATTGTGATTTAGATATTTGGTGTGAAATTTGTAATCAAATACGGACATAAGCTATTATTGGTTTTGTCTGCAGAACCTTCTCTTGTCAGTTAATGTTGGGTGCCCCCTTGATCGAATCAACCCTCTAGGTATAGTTGCAGCAGTTGCGCCACTGACATTATAATACAAAGTCAGCCACTTTAATAAATTAATAAATTGGTATATTTAATTAACTTTAAGACTTTATTTTAATTTTTACTTTTTAGTAGAGAACTTCATTCACTAATCTATTATATATTTAATTTAAGTTTTATATACAACTATTCGTTGTATTTGTCCACAATATTGTACAATATAAATAATTGTGCTATTCAATTTTTATTACATTTATACAATGTGACGCAATGATACATATAGTTGATTATTTCGTTGACTTAATCAAATCAGAAGACAAATATACAATTAATGATTGATAGAATTGAGAAGAATTGAGAAGATTTAGCATAAAAATATTATTTACATTCATTTTTATTTTTATGATTTAACTTTTGTTGCAAACTAATTAACTAGGTTAGGTAATAACTTGTTTACATATATAAATTCACGTTATGTAGACTGAATTATGCTCGGAATTATGTAACATTTCAATAAGTACCAAATTGTTTTTATTAAAAATATTTGTTTAATATTGTAAAACGAAACGCATCAAAACTGACATTGATCACATAGGTATTTAAAATATCGTTGTATAGAAATAATAATTTTTAGTACCCATACGAAGATTTGTTGTATAACATAGTTTTAGATACTAAATACAATAATATATTATACTCAATGAATTTTAACTTTTAACATATTATATTATATTATTATTAGTTATTTAACAAATAATATGATAATGTTTGTGACTTACCGACATGTTCGGAAGAGTATTCTGGATCTAAAAATAAAAAATAAAAAATAAATAAAATAGCTAAATATTATCTTTTAATAATAGGTAATTAAATAAATTGACAAATATACATTATTATTTACACAATTATTGTTATATTAAAGGGATAGTAATAATAATAATAATTTCTATTATTTATCCCTAGTATCAGCTCTACCTAGTACCTACATGAAACGAATATTTTGCAAAATGTTATTAACTGTACAAAAATATATTATATTTAATGTTTGACATATTTTTCAGACTACAATAGATTATCGTTATGCTTTAGTAATGCATATAATGATAATCAGTGTAACGTAACTAGAATGATTACTACGGAAGTTGTAATGATGGTAGGTAGTATTGTAGGTACTATGCGATGTTTTGCATATGTGAATTTACATTTTAAATAAATTTCAAAATATTAGAGTATTAGACATGTATTATTCATTTAGTGTAGAGCAGGGAAGCTGTTTTATTATATTATATTTATATTGCAATGTTAAACATTTCTTTAAAAAAAAAAAATACCAACACAAATTGCATTTAATTGTAAATTTTGAGTACAGTTTTCAGTACTAATATTTTATAGTGTACCTATAATATATTGGTGCACAATGCTCAATTATCTAAATTTTTTGTTGGGACTTAAGTATCGAACACATAATATTGAAAAAAGAAAATTCCCTGGGCTTCACCTCACGTTCATCAAAATCAAAACATATTTTTGTTCAAGTATAGTTTGTTAATTGTTAGTATCACATTTTTTTTATATAAAAGACAATAATTGTTCACAATTGTTGTAATTTAACATAGACCGTGACTCCGTGCCATATAGACTTTTAATCATATTAATCTATGCTCCGTGTTTATAATTTCATTTCATTTATCAGGAATACAATATAGGTATACCATGCGTTGGGTGGGGGACTACGTCTCTCCAAGCACTCCATGTAGATACCTATATCAGTATGACATTTTATGATATTATGGGATTAATTTATATCATAACAAAATTATTAGGTATGCGTACTATAAATTCTACAGTTTTTTGTCTTTTCATAGGGACACATATAAGTTTATCTTACAAGGCGATGAGGAGAATATGACATAAATAATTATAATAAATGTATTTACACCTCACAAGAATTGAGAGCCAATATATTTTTTTTTTTATTGTTTCCTATATGGACATAATATTGTGTTGTAATGTAATCAGTAGCCAGTAGGTACGCACTGGTAGAAATGATTCTTATCCATCTTTTTTGTTATTTTCCCTTTCGAGGTAGAAAAACAATACCAAAATAGTAATAGCCCTTCAAACTCTTTTTTCCCTCAAATTTGTTGTCAGTTTCCGAGAACCGTTTCTTTATATTCCATCCCCCGACCTCTCTATATGGACACCGACCATTCCTGAATGAAATAGTTTGATCGATGGAAATATAGTGAAACTTTAAATTATTAAAGCTAAAAAGCCAATAAGCTATAGTTAGCACATAACTCACTTGCTATACTTAATACTGTTATTTGTTTTACAAATATTAAATTGACACAGAAAATTCTAATTTATAACTAATATAAGTAGTCAGACATGAGTTGTTAATATGAACAATACTGCCTATTATATACACATTACACATGGTCACATGACGGTACTTCTTATAAACGCGCACATTACACTATGTACTGTTAGCTTAGTCTTAGTAAATTAGATTTAATGTCATTGTCAATATTAAAATAATAGGTACAATTTATAACGTATTTATGATTAAATCGTAAAAAAATTAATTCGTCAAGTGCATAAAATTATTTTTTCGAGATGCATTTAAAGTTTTATTATCTAAAACCGTAGAGATTAATAGACTCAAAGACTCAAGTGACAAGTGGTAGGTACACGTCAGAATGGCATCATAATTCATAAATACATATTAGCTATTTCATAGTATAATAAGGATTTTTTTGAATGACATATTTCGGGATGAAATAAAAAAAACTCATAAAATTTGATTTGACCAAATAACGTGGTGTTAGATATACAGTGAAACCTCTGTTTGCCGATAAATTTTAATTCCCGTATGGTATCCACTAGACATATTATAATAGAGAGGTTTCACTATAGTCCTTTATTATTAAATGATTAGGTATGGCAGGCGTATAGAGTAGGACAGGCGGATAGTTTAATTTCGTGTTCTATACTGAAAGTATATATATACCATAGACGTATAACACTGACAAACAAAAATACGTAAATTAAATAATATAATACGTATAATGCTATTATGGGCGTATATAGGTGATTTATGCTTTACGCACCGTTACGAGCCAATGCACAAATGCACAATCACTACAATAATATATTATGATTATGTTATATAGCATTTAATATAAATGTATTTCATTACACAAATATAATATGTATATCAAGTTCTACACGATACGACTTCATACTGCAGGCAGGATATCGCTTGTATATATTATTATTATTGTTACTATAGTGTACCTATGTGAAAAATAACCTCGAGAGGAATAAAATAATAATAATAATATTGTAGTTGTAATAATAAATACAACGCATATATAATATGAAATAAATATACCGAAGCAGCCAGCAGCAGATATCATACGTCATAAAGGTGTATGTATAATATTATACAGGCGAATATACCTGTACCTACATATGTGGCTTATTATAATAGTAGGTAGGTATATACATAAAAATATAAGTTTACATAAACATAATATATTTCATTGGAGATATTGTATATTCGTGAAAAATACGAGCGTGTAGACCGGAGGTTTTACGTTTCTGTAAATATTTTTTTAGTATCTCGTTGTACACTATATAGGTATCCTATACCTAGGTAACTGGTATATTATATTATTATGACATATTTTTCATCGTTCGGTTTCCAATATTGAATATTATACGTATTACAATAATAGGCCGGAGAAGTGCGACGCGGCGTCGAGTACACTGCACAAATGACGTGTACGCGTATATTATTACAATAACAAAATAAAATAAAATATTATATTATATAGGTCCGACGAAACGTATCGCATGGATACTTCACGCGAATGTCACCACGGGTACCTAACCTAACCTGCGTACAGGTATACGCTCGTATACCCAAGTATATTGATGCCAAGGGCACGAAATAATAATCGGTAACCCGATTAAATTTAAATCTCGAAGAGACTTGAAGAAAGCCCGCCCCGCGTTGTGACACCGTCGCTCGTACAATATATTATAATATTATTACAATATATGCGAACGATTGATGCCGTCCATGTACCACGAGTAGTATACCTGTATAATAAGCCGCAGAAAATATTATGTATATCATTATCTGTTTTTTGTGGCTTACATATTATAGTCCATGTATATAATATGTATATTATATTATAGGTAGGTTCGCGATTCGCTGGCAAATATAGGGACGCCGTTTTATATCGCCATTACGCAATATTCAAACTAGGTAGGTGCACGCGTGTTTTCATATTATATTATGATATATACGCGAACATTATAAGGCTTTCAAGAACACCGCAAACGCGCGGGGGAGAGACAATAATAATTGCGATATGTATACCTATACGCAGTCGACGAAATTTTACATAACGTCATCGCGTATATACCAATAAAAGATCGAATGTTATACCGCGCTTACCTATATAGTCATCGTCAGTGTGCCATATATTACACGTAGGTAACGACAATATCGATCCCGGGTATAAAGGCATCGAGAGGAATTTAAAAGAAATTCCCGATATCGATTCCAGGGATGAAAACAAAATGTATTATTTTTTTTTTATATTATATATTGTAATGTTATTTAAACGATTTCTGTCCGTTCAGTTATCGATGGTTATAATATGTATTATGTATCCAAGTACCTATAGGTCCCTAGGAGGGGTCTCGCGTTCAGAAAAAAAATTTGAAAAATCTCATGATGTTAAAAACGTTTATATAGAAATACCGAAGGAATTCCTTCGAGATACAGCAATATACTTAATACATATATAATATATTGTAGTGAGTAAATACTCATCTGTCGATGTCAAAGATAATATATAATAATGGGGTACACATGATTGGACAAAAATACAAAACCATGTGATACACTGATACAGTAAGCTTTCAGAAAGCTCGAGAGCTTTTTTTGTTACATATACACTGTTTATAGCCTTAATTTCCTTATCGGAGATATATATATATATATGCGGTATCGTCCATACATAATAATTATGTAACTGCTATGACTTTTTTGGTGTACAGTGCAAAGACTTCACCATTTCTTCTGCATCTACCGAAATATGAACAATTCTTCTGAAGTTCGTTAATTTTAAATCATAGAACTATAAATCCCTCATTTATAGGTCTATGTTTTAAATACATTAATTTATGAATAATAAAAAGTAGAAGTATTTTAAAGGCAATTGTAAGTATAAATTTGTGTTAGTGCTCGGTAGTTATTTTCACACGGGGCCTTGCAATTATTTTTAAGGATGGCACTGTAGGATTACATACTAGACCCATTATAATATACCTATTATATGAAACAATTATTATATTATTGCCGACTGCATAATATGTATGCGTTCTAATTTCTAATACGTTGACGCGTTTTACGAAACATATAATAATAACAGTAATGTCGTAATGATCTAATCTTCTTTCTCGATTTCGATATTGTTGGTAATCTGCACGGTAATTGTCTTGGGACACATAAACACATTTTAAAACGTAGGAGTACTTATAGGTAATAGCTGGTATCTGCAGGTATCGTATTGCCAGGATTTCGTGCCGGTTAGCACACAGCTCGTTTATTACGTTGTTAAATACATATTATTATAATGATCTGCAGTATCCTGCCGGATGTGTTTGAAAATAGCAGAAACTTTTGTAAATCTTTTCTATGTTTTTATTCGACTTAAGTGGGCAAACAATATAATTTCGCCAAATAACAATGACATAATGGATATATACACACATATTATGCATA